CTATTCATAAAATTTTTTAATTAATTGTACTAATAAAAATTTAAAATATTCAAAAACAATTTGTGTATTTGTAGTTAGTATGAAAACTAATAAATCAACAGAATATTAGTAGACACTGGCGTCTAATCTTTAACATCCAGCCAAACAGTATTTGTTAAAACTAGTGTTTTTTAAACATGTATGAGTAAAGTTTATGAAAAAAACAATTAGTAATTTTTTTTTTTTTTAAATTTATTAAAATGTAAAAAACTAGAAGGTACAATTGCTTTTACATATATTATTAAACTGAGTCATTTAGACCCTCCACCTTGCCATCCAGTCATTGTTAGGGGTCTTGACATAAAAGAATAGGTCACGTATATAACACATTTACAATAACAGAATTTTTTAAGTATCGAAGTTGTTACTAATTTTCGATATCAGAGGCATAGAAAATTGTTCAAAAACAAATGTAACCCTTTTATTTCATGATAAAAACGAATAACACAATGTATACTGCGGCTTGCATGATAATAAAAATGAGAAAGTAAAAAAAAATAATAGTGACACACTTGTACAATCATTTTCCTATTTTTCTGTAGTAGCAGTGACGATAAGTATCGAGTATCAGATACAGAAATAGTTATAGTATGTCAACGACCACTCGCAGACGATTCGACAGAGAACAATAAGATACTGTTTTGATATTGTTTAACTATCTTATGTTAATTTATTCTTTTGATTTATTTGTTTTCGTACTAACTACAAGTACAAGAATTCTATTAGTAAAATTGATACAAAATTTTTCATAGTTAAAATTAGAATAAACAAACAAAATAGTTACGAAATGTAAATTAAACATGGTTGTAAATTAAAAACAATTAGGACTTTATATTGTTGATTTAGTTGCATCATACAAGCAATAAGAACATTTAATGGTAAAAAGACTGAAACAATATTTTAATTATCAAAACTAAAAAATTGTTTCCGTAATTTTTTAGCATTTTAAATTTTTATTGTTTGTAACACGCGTTATGCTAAAAAACTCCAAAATATTTGAGGTCAAATTTACTTCAAAGTGTATGTTGTTTGTGAAATTGCTCATACGTACTTGCTCATTTCAAATTAAATTATACCTATAGGCATAATTTATAACTTATTGTGGAACAATGTGAATATGATCGAGGTAAGAGCTATGACTGTTTTAAATGGTGTGGGGGGGGGGCTAATGTTCAAGTGTATGAAACAATCATTAAATTTGAATTAAAATTTTAAAAAAAGGTATATTAAAATTATCTTTCGTGTATAAATAAGTTCAAACTTGCTATTCTTCATTTCTATGATCGTCAAAAAAATTATGCAGCTGCCGTTTCGTGAATTCGGTTTTGTCCTTTTCGAAACATTTGGTTGCTTCCTAACATGTAATAATATATTTTTAGGCTTTCTAAAAAAATTTGAAAGTTATTAGCGAATACTCGAGCGAATACTTTTTTTCAGCTTTAGGATCATATGAGCTTCCAACAACTCCCAAACCGAAAAAAAAAAGTTTGGAGAGGGTTTTTCTTTTAATTTTTATAATTTCTTAAATTTAACAACTTACACCATACTCGCCAACGATTTTGGGGACCAGATGGTTCTTCCAACAACGGTCCTACGAGAATGGAATGTCGAAGACACTCTTGACTCTCTCCCACTTCCGATGTTGGAATGATATTTTGGATATGGCTGAGCGTCCCTGTGGCTGTCACGCCTACGCTTCGGTAGAGATTTCCTGTCTTGAAATCGATCTGGGCTGTAATTTCCACAGTCTAAATCTTTTCTTACCGAGTCGTCTCTGCATAGGCACAGAAGGACAGGTGATTATTAACTGAAACGAGATGTATTTTATTTATAACTGACAGATGTAAAATTACCTATTGCGCCTGTCATCTTCACGATGATTTTCCCTCCAAGATTCAGATGTTCTTCTTTCCCTGACTCTGCCTTCATGTACCACGTAATTCTTTTTATCCGAATTAGACATGTTTAAACTAAGAATCCGAAATAAAAGTAACAGATACTCGTGTGCAAATGTTGCCAGAAATAATTTTCTCTGTCAGAAACTTGTGGGAATCGCAAGTATCTTATTATTTCAGTACTTTTTTGATAGCTCCATTAGATAAATTCACGATAAACGTCATTCGCGAGAAATCACGTGTATTTGGTGAGGCCAAGGGAAAAGAGCGAAAAATGGGGAGTTAACGAATTTGATGAAGGAGCCACTTAAAGCCAACACACTGAATTCGATTACAGAAAAAGTGCTCCACCTACTTTTACGCAAGTTGGGGTATGTTCGTAAAAATTTGTATAAATTCAAATCAGTTGCTAAAAAATTTTAAATCATCTAATAATAATTGATACTCATTAAAAAATTTTAATCCTAGTCATTCATAATTTATACAAGTCATCGGTTTTGATTTGGTTATTTTTTGCACTTTCCGATTTGTCACTTGTGGCAAAAAAAATTAAATAACTAATAATTAATACAATTAAAAAACTTATGGGTTGTTATCATTTATAATGATTATTACATCTTACAATAATGACAATTATAACCAATTATTACTATAATAACGATGTTATAACAATTATTATTGAATTATTTCCTGATTTAATTCGTGCTTGGATTACAAATAACGAGCCAGCGACTAATAACTGTTGCGTACGTTACAATTTCTTAGCAAAGTTCATGGACTAGATAAATACGTGTGTGTGTGTGTTTACCCTTAGCGTATTATTACTTAAATTCTTATTAGGTAAAAACTGACATTGGAATACGTAACTAGTAACTGTACACACAAAATACACGTATATGCACACAAATGAATTTATTTAGTTACCACATAACGTATATATCCTGTATGGGAAGTTTCAAGATGCGCGAAATTTTTTGCCTGTCAATAACTAATTTCATGTATGCACAAGCAAATAGCTTCGTTGTTTAAAAATTTTTATTATAAAAGCTGATACTGTCCGTGTTTACTTCAGTAGGTGAAAATGGGTTAATTCTATCAAAACCTTAGTGATGATCAAACTAATTCCCAATGCCTGATTTTATCTCTTTACAATCAGATTTTATTTATATTTTATAACAATTTTGTTGGTCAAATAATATGTAAAATAAGCAAAAAGAATTCGTGTATTAGTAGTTAGTATAAAAACAAATAAATCAATAGAATACAAGTAGACACTGACATCTTATCTTTATAAAACCTCTAGCCAAACGGTACTTGTTAAAGCTAGTGCTTTTGAAATATATATATGTAAGTAAAGTTTATGAAAAAAACAATTAGTAATTTTTTTTTTTTTTTAATTTATTAAAATGTAAAAAACTAGAAGGTACAATTGCTTTTACATATATTATTAAACTGAGTCATTTAGACCCTCCACCTTGCCATCCAGTCATTGTTAGGGGTCTTGACATAAAAGAATAGGTCACGTATATAACACATTTACAATAACAGAATTTTTTTAAGTATCGAAGTTGTTACTAATTTTCGATATCAGAGGCATAGAAAATTGTTCAAAAACAAATGTAACCCTTTTATTTCATGATAAAAACGAATAACACAATGTATACTGCGATTTTCATGATAATAAAAATCAGAAAGTAAAAAAAAATAATAGTGACACACTTGTACAATCATTTTCCTATTTTTCTGTAGTAGCAGTGACGATAAGTATCGAGTATGCAGGCGATACATTGACAAAATTGAAGAATACTTAGGTCACCATCGATTGATCCTACTTAGATTATTATCTATTGATCCGATTTGAATTTGGATTACATTCTAAAATAAAGTATTTTTGTATTTTTCGGCTTAATGGACCATAAGCTGAGGTCCGTGGCTGGTCAAAAATGTAAACCAGCCACCACTTGCGCCAGAAATTTCTTGATAACTCATATATCAATGATCCGAAATATTTTTGGTCATATTTAATTCTGATGAAGAATTATGTGGTAATTAAAGTAGTTCCATGTGATTAATTGTATAAACCAGCCGCAACTTTAAGTACCGGATGTAAAACGATATCTTTATGATTCAAATGCTATTTGCAGCAAGATTAGAATTTATATTGTACTTGAAATTTGACCGTAAAAAAATTTATTTATGGTCGATTTTCAGTTAAAATATAAATTTTAATCTTACCACAAATGATATTTTTACCAAGAACTTTCTATCTTGTAATCGCTCGCCAAAGTTGCGGTTGGTTTTTAAAATTAATTTTATGGCATCACTATAATTACCTCATAACTCTCCTTCAGAATAACATATGACAACAAAATTTGTCATTGCCACTGATTATATCATTTATCAATTGTGGTAAAAGTGGTGGCTGGTTTAGAGTTTTGACTATTTTTGGGCCTCAGCACTTGGTCAAGATCGAGAATCATCGAGAGGTGGTTTGAAATTGGCGCAATGTGTCGTCTGCTACTCAGGGGTTATGCCGCATGTGTGTTGGATGCTGTTCATCCAAGGGATTTTCTAACAAAAATCACTCGGAATTTAAAAATTTTCCTCCCAAAGATTGAATATCACACTTTTCTCTCGTGAAAAGCACGTAAACTGCCAGTGTGCGTCGAATACACGTTACGTTCGGAAAAGGTAAACAAGCATTTGTATATGTTCCTTGTCGCAACAGTTGTCCGGGTAGCCGGCACTGCATTGTTTAAAACAACTAACCTGCAACGGTCTCGTATGTTGACAATTGATTACCCAGCAAACTCACGTCGATTAGCTAGTATGAGTCCGTTGAAAATTGGCACCCACAATGGAACCTTCCACTGCGACGAGGTACTTGCCTGCTACATGCTCAAGCTTTTGCCCCAATACCAGGACGCTTCGATTGTTCGGTGAGTATATAGTTGTACTTGCTCCACTCTATTTTAATCAGTCATTTTCAAGATAACTGTCATACCTGTATCTCAGAGGACCTATTCTCACACTTGCATGCGTTTAAATGTAAACTTAAAACTTCTTTATCGAGTTTTATGGTTGTCGATGACATAATTTGAGTCTGTTTTTTGTTACCAAGAACTCGAGATCAAAGTATTCTTGACAGCTGTGATATCGTGGTGGACGTGGGTGGAAAGTACGATCCCAGTACTCATCGCTATGACCACCACATGAGGTTTGTGTTAAAACATTGTGTACTCAAATAGAGCAATTTTATATTTGTGAACCTTTTTCTTACTCATTCAAAATCATTTTGATGTCTACTTTTTGCTTTTTTTTTCAGAACTTTTAACGAGTCCATAAGCACTGTGATAAGAAAGCCAGAATATACAACAACCATTAAATTAAGTAGTGCTGGTTTAGTTTATTGCCACTTTGGGCACCAAATAATCAAGCATTTAGTTCCTGAATTGAACGAAGACGATTTAGAAAGGATATTCAAAAAGATTTACAATACTTTCATCGTAGAAATCGATGGCATTGACAACGGAGTACCAATGTTTGATGGTGAACCCCTGTAAGTTCCTCCTTTACTCAATATGATGGGCCTAAACAATTCATGCATATTGAAGCTATGCAATCATTTCAGGTATCGAATATGTACGGACCTATGCTCGAGAGTTGGAAGACTCAATATTCAATGGAATACACCACATTTAAAAGAAGACGAACAATTCAGTAAAGCAATGGCCATGGTTGGAGAAGAATTTACGTATTTTGTTGAAAATTCTGTACGCTCATGGCTGCCAGCTAGAACAATTATCCAAGAGTCTATAAACAAACGATTTGAGGTACGTAAATCCAAATTTGTTGGAGTGAACTTTAAATCCTGTATTGACATGTTTTATTTCTAATTTTCAAGGTTGATCCCAGTGGTGAAATCATTGAAATGTCTCAGTCAGTTCCATGGAAAGAACATCTTTTTAGCATTGAAAACGAATCGAATATAGATCCTGCTATTAAGTATGTAATTTTTAAAGATAACAGTTATAGGGTTCAAGGTGTACCTCAGCAGTATGGCAGTTTTGTGTGCAGGTAAAACGATAGTGATTTACACAATTACAAAAATCGTAATTTGAGAGGTTTTACAAAAACAAAAAATATAACTTACATAATTTTTCATTCAATATCTTTCAGAATATTCTTACCAGAACAATGGGCTGGATTGCGAGATGAAGAATTGAGTGACGTAGCAAAAATTAAAGACTGTGTGTTCGTTCACAGTGGTCGTTTCATTGGAGGAAATAAAACACGTGAAGGAGCTTTGGAAATGGCTCGTCAAGCACTAAAAATTGAAAAGTCAATGAATAAGTAATCAGTTCCAACCCAAACCTTGTTAAAATACAAAAATGTACAAAAGCATGGATGATAAAAATTTTTGTAAAATTCATCGAAATAATAAAATACAAATTACATCACGTGAGTCAATGCTTTGCCATTCTTACTTCATAAAAACAATATGTCAGTATTTAACAATCAGTATGAATTGTCAAACTGTAGTACGCAGACGTAACCCTTATTTTTTAATAAATTTACAATTAAAAAAATTTTTTTTTACGTTATTAGTAATATTTATACTCATTAAAACAGAACAAGCAAAAGTAGAAAAATCGAATCAAGTGAAAACGATATGTTGCTAAATACGTCGACAATGCAGATATTTGCAAATAGTTATGATTAATCGACTCGGTTAAACCGTCAATTAGAAATTTGATGTGCAAATTGGCTTTTTGATATTATGTGTATTAAATGACGCTGATTACGGGAAAAATAATAAAACATTTTTAAAATTATTGGTTCAATACGAAAATCGTGCCTAAGGTTTCTCGCACTCATACCTCGTAAACCGTAGCAGATATCTCGGCAGATACAATAAAAATAAAAATACCAGCGTGCAGGGCGGAAAATTTCCTATCGATGTGGTGTTTGTTTATCTTCCAACACGCGCAAAATTGAGAGAAAAAATTAATAAAGCATTTTTTACACTTGCCTTCACAAGAGTAAGTGATAAGGAGCGATGCGTCAGCCACGAGCAGCGAGCGGCGCAGCCATAAGTTACAGTATCATACGATGGATCGGATTTTTCCGAGAAATGAGTTTTTTTAATATATTGGGCAAAGTCTTAAGTGAGAGTTTTTTTTTTTTTTTTTTTTTGTTACCGGTATCTGCTGAATTCGATGGTTTTCATGGCCTTACACTGCAGTAAGACTCAAACAACAAATTTTTACCCGTATTGTACTGAAACAGTAACTGTTAAGTGTCAAAAACGGACTCTATAAATTAATGATAATAATTAATCATTTACAATAAATGAACAACCCGTTGAGTCTTCGGATTTTTCGGCAGATGTGTACGTTTAACGTAATTCAACTATTTTGTAACTTAATCTAAAATATTTTTAGGACTACAATTTTGTACTATATATTTCATTAATTTTAAGTTAGTAAAAATAATACTACTCTTTATGAGTACAAGTTATTCAACCTTTTCACCTTAAACAAAACGATATTAAAAACAGAGCAACCGTTTTATGAGACACGGATACTTATGTAGCTAACACTATTTTTCAGTGCAGAGTTTTAAATACAGGTCTAGTGTTGTACCTACTATTTCTCTTTATATCTGATTACAAGTACGTTCATTATATGATGTTAACAATTTAACTGCACTTTAGTTGATTAATCTGGGTACAGCTATATGTTTTACTTTCATCCACACTTCACCGCAGTCATCGGTGACGACGAAGACTCGTGTCGTAAAAATATCTTTTTTTTTATTCATACCTACGAAAGCACACGTTTCCTCACTCACCGATCAGACATTCAGTTTTTACTAAGTTTATTAGTTGTCCCGTTTTTTTTAACCAAGTATCTGGTATTTTCATTTGTTTCAGTTTAGTAGATTATTCTATCATCTGGACGAGGAAGCGCTATTTATTATAAATTAGATTTTTCATGGGAGAATTGTTAAAAAATTTTATCATTATTATTATGATAAAGATACTGAGGGATAGAATTATATATGTGAATTGTTTTAAATGTGAAAATAAACAACTATATGTATGTTTTTGTTAAGTAAGTAAAAAATGTATGATGAAAATTGGAGGTGTAGTTGTTCCATAGGCTGCATTGTCTATCACAAATATTAAGGTTTTGGCATCAATATCGATACTGAAAGTACGTACTATCGACTGAGGGAAAATAAAAAATATATTATTTCAGTTTCTGACAATAAGTCATGGGATCTTTTTTTAATAGGTTGAATAAAGTAAAGTGTAACTCATCACTTATTTTTTAAGATTAATAATAGTACGAATCTGAAAGACAGGGTACAGGAAAATACGATCTTCTGAATTTATAATAAATCTACGTTAAAAGTATTTAACTATTCTTTTTTTGGTAGTAAAAATAAAATAATAAGCATAAAGTCTATGAGAAATATCAAATATTAATACTTCAAGTTTGTGAAGACATTGTCGAGTACATGCCCCATTACCAAAAAATGTTTTGTAACGTAGTAGGTATTCTGGTTTCATCAATTCTTACACAAAATTAATTTTTTTAAACAGTACTATGCCACAAAGACATTATTGAAAAATGAAACTATGGAAGATTTGGAGTTTGTGGATTCATGGTCAATAAGTATTTTAAAAGACAGACTTTGTTGTGTTCATATAAAAAATATGCAGAAAATTATGTTACTTTCTATAAACGTAGTTATATTATAAACTACTTAGATGTTGTAATTTGCTGTAAAATTGTATTGTAACAAGTATTCTGTTAAATAGTTACGTTATTTTTTCACATCAATTCATTTATAGTTCGTAAGTACCAAGAATAAAGTATAATTATGAAGACAATATCTCTCATAGCATTATTTTAGAATTGTATTAAAAATAAGACAGCATATTGTATAGCTCATTTTATTAAAATATGAGACAAAACAAGACAATATCTACATTACTTTTAACTCTTGTGAGGTCCTACTAATTATAAGATTGTACCTCATTAGAAAAACATGTTACGTAAAATAGCTATTTCGAAACTACGTATTATCTACACTACACTACGAAATATTTGGTCTTCACAACTTTTTCACATAACAAAAAAAAAAAAAAAAAAAAAAAAAAAAAAAAAAAAAAAAAAAAAAAAAAAAAAAANGTGTATTTTCGCAAGACTCCCGAGTCTGGGCCGCCTGAGTGCCATTTCCTCAATCGCGAAATACACAACGCGCTATCCCGTAGGTTGTCCATGTATTTGTATTTTTATGTTATTTTCACTAAAAGAGAACATTTTTTAATTTAACAATAACATCAGCATTAGAAATAAGTTTTGTTATTTCTGTAATTTTGAAATAAATTATCCATTCTATTTCTACTCTGAAGTAAACAGCGACAAGAGCGGCTTTAATCGAATCTTGCAACATTGTCGTGGCTTGTATATAATTTACTGCAGGTAATCTCTGCTGCTGGCAGCCATTGCAGACTACACCCAGTACAACAAAGGATAAGTAAGATATTACTATTTTTTTCTTGACAAATACGTATTAAATCTTTTTTTTAAGCTTGATACTGTATTTGTAAAGTTTTGTTTGATTATCATAGATTCACAAGCCAATCTAGAGATCCAATACGCAAAAGTTTTGCGTACGCAAAAACGGTGATAATTTTGGGACTTAACAAAAGCGAGAATTTGAGCCAATTTTGTCCACGTTATGAGAATGAAAGTATACCTATTCAATTTAAAGCCGATTGTCGGGTAGTAGATATGAGTCCTTATTTGGCCGCCAATGATAACTTATTCTCTATCTATTGGGCCCAATGGTAGATAAAAAATTTTGGCATTTGGAAATTTTCAGATACAGAATGTAGCTTGTCATAGCAACATCTCAGAAACACTGTAATCTCTCCAAATCATAAGGTTTTCTCAACTTTTATAAGAATGGCGGCAGGTGTTAATTTTTTGCTTCATCTGTACTCAAGTTCTTGGTCTAAAACGTAAAGTATCACGCAGACCAAAGAATTGGAGTGCTCTAAATAGTTGCAAGTCCCAAACAGAAACAATGGATATAACAGCTCCATTATAAGTTAGCTGTTACGTTTGACTCCAGCTGTTCAAGTTCCAGTGATTCAGAAGAAAATTAATTGTTTTTTAGCAGTGGCGATTGAAAGATCTTCAATTCTTTAGTCTGAACATTTGTTTACGTTTGGCAAAATGTGACAAATGCTTTTTTTTTACATCTGGTGGAATTGCCGATTACTACAGCAACAGCCCGAGACCCAAATGGAAATTGAAATTGGGTGAAAAGTTAGGCCAAACTAGGTTACTGCCTACCTTGGCCGCGGACTTGGGATCTGACTCTTTGGGCCTCCGGTGGGTTTCGCCCAGTGATCACCAACTTTTGTGTGCAAATAAGCATATGATACTTTGCTATGTATATTTTTTTTAGTTGGGGCCACTAATTAAAAGTTACAGCAGTTGAAATAAGAGCTGTAAAAATCGGTAACTATGAGGTCTTGTTAATATTTGCTGAAAAAACGTTATTTCTCTTTAAACCACTATAGCTTTCAATTGGTGATACAAAACTGTTTTTACTTCAGATGACTCAATCCCACCATCCATATAAAAAATAAACTATATAGTTGAGTGCTCTCCAATTGGGGGAAAAATAAGACGGGCCTTGAAGAGAAAATCTATTTTTTATTTTTTTATTTTTCCACGTTCAACGATGTAATTAGATAAAAGCCTTTTATTAATATGTTTTTGAGGAGATAACGATACTTAACATATAAGCTTTTTTCCCCTAACCCAATCGGTTCTGTAACATTTTCCTTTGAACGTGCATAACGCACATTTAACACGTTACATCACGTGAGTCAATGCTTTGCCATTCTTACTTCATAAAAACAATATGTCAGTATTTAACAATCAGTATGAATTGTCAAACTGTAGTACGCNTGTAATTAGATAAAAGCCTTTTATTAATATGTTTTTGAGGAGATAACGATACTTAACATATAAGCTTTTTTCCCCTAACCCAATCGGTTCTGTAACATTTTCCTTTGAACGTGCATAACGCACATTTAACACGTGGGATAGGGTGGGGTCTTATTGCTCTTATTTTGTTTCGAATGACAAGAGCACAACTTTTAGATAAGTATTGACTTTCACATTAATGCATTTGACCTTACTATGCGCATAAGAGTTGTAAGCATTTTCTGAGTCAGTTACGGTGGAATTATCTCACACATACAAGTATATGTATATACTACGCATATACGTATAATTTTAGAACACGTATTATGTTTAGTAATAGTAGTTATGTATGTATAATGTGTAGAGTCGTCATTTAAATACATATAAGATATAAAATTACCAAATAATTATATATCGTGCTTATTT